GAGTGGGAGGGGAAACCTCAGTATTGGGAAAGGGGAAGGGGAAAATCCACAGATTCAAACCTTGGACTTGAGGGTAACCATTCCCTAGGGGAGAGGTGGTAAGCCACCTGCTCCACCACCTGTGGTTGAGTCATCAACCATAAAATCAATAACATTCAGCAAAAACATAAGGCAAATGACATCAGTAGTAGTTAATGGAAAAAAGTACTGATAATGAAACATACCCAGCTCCGAAGAGCAATAATCCAACAACCAGCTTCGGAAATTGTTTCCTTGTAGCCTCCATGAGACTCTTGAAAACTGATGCTGGAGTGAACTCTGTCCCATCATAAGTGAAAGAAAAGAATGATGCAGAAAAGAAACGAGAAGATTTTTTCAATGATGCCTTTGGGGCATTAGGAGCTGAACTCTCCTTAGTGATATCCTTTTGAGTTTCCTGCTTTTTTGGTTGAACAGCATTCTTTGACTTTTCTGCTTCAACTTCATCTTCTTTAGTAGAGTCTGCACCTAGCTTTCCATTCTCATGATCACTCAAATCATCAAATTGGCTGAGCACTTCAGGACTCAGACTAGCTTTATCAGAAACTAAATTATCACCATTAATCTGCGTATCCCTTTCTCTTTCAACAATAACATCCGTAGAACTCCCTTGACCACTCTTATCCTCCTCAAGAACAGTCTCTTCCTCCAATACCTGTGCTTCCGATGTTTCTGCAGTATCAGCATTGGAACTTGAAAGAGACTTCTCAGCTCTCTGTAATGCAATTTCTGCATCATTCACACACTGTGCAGCCTCTAATTCAAAAGCAACAGCTTGCTCTGCCAAAAGCATAATATTTGCTACCTCTTCCTCTGCTTTCAGCGAATCCATCTGGGCTTTCTCTGCAACCTCATTCAACCTTTCCACTTTCTTCTGCAACTCTTCTTTTTTATTTTGCAAGCGCCTCAACTCTTCCTCACAGTTGGCCAAATTCTCCTGACATTCCTTAATATGATCCTGAGCAGTCAAAAGTGCCTCATTGAGTTTCCTGATATCATCTTTAACATCACTTTCTCCAGAACTTTCAGGGGAATCATTCACTTCTTTTCTAGCCTTTAATGACTCTACAGCTACCTGAAGCCTTGCCTCGGCCAAAGATACTTCCATTGTTGCTTTATGAACAGCCTCCTTAGCGACAGACTCTTCCATAACAATTTCCTGAATCTTATCAAGGGTGTTAGTAACATCATCCCAAGCATTAGCTGCTTCATCCTTCAAGGCTATTGCGGTTTCTGATATTCGCTGAGCCTTCTCCTCAAACTTCGCACTGTTGAGACGTGCCAAATCCAGTTCTTTCATTGCCTTTTGCAACAATTCCCTCAATTCATCCATGGTAGGTGCTGCCACTACAGTTTCATTTTCCCCTTCTTCTCCCAAACCATTTGATTCAATGCCATCAGAACTGCCATCACTGCTCTCTACAAACTCTGTATCCTGACTGTTCCCATCAACATATGCCAAAGAATCACCACCTTGACAACACGATTTAACTCCTCTTAACCTCAAACCATCATCAAAACTACAAACCAAGGGTGTATTTGAATTCCAACTATACAAATGACTATTGAATTTTCCTCTAAAAACCATACTGGATTTCAAGCAACCACCGTATGCATTATATTTTCTAATTTTCCTAGTAGGTCGTGCGTTCATAGCAATCCTCCTATCACAAACATCATAGAAAAAGCCTCTACCTCTTAACCTCAAATGCAATGGATCCAATATACCACAACCAGTCCCCTCACCACCGCGAAACACGCTCCTATTCTGAAAAGCACACGCAAAATCCATTTCTGAAGCAAAATACTTACAGATACAAATCGGAACAGATTCCACAACTTCTCATAGGCATTTTATCGAACACCTGTAGAGACATACAGTAATTAACACCAATACACCAAACCCAAGAGCATTAATAACCACAATTTACAGAATAAATCAGATGAATCATAGCTCCCAAGTTAAGCACACATAAACACAGATTCAGCTATGAAGTTCGGATTGAAGTGAGTATCGTAAGTATAAATTAATCAAAACAGAATAACTGACCGATCAAGAGGAGCAACATTGGAGGTCGAGCTTGAGGGGGTAAAAAAAAAAAAATCAACGGCGGAGTTTAAGAGCAGAAAATGACACAACTGATAACAAATCAACGTCGCTTTTTTGCTCTTTTTTCCCCTTCTTTTTTTAATTTAGTATATGTTGACGTTTCTTCCTCATTGTTCAGTTGTTTGGAACCTGAGAAACCAAAGGAATATTTCGCTGAGGTAAGAGGAGGAAAATTTTGACAGCTACTTGCTCAATTTTTTGTTCTTCTTGTTTTTCTCTTTTTTTATTCTTTATTTTATTTTTTCAGAACAAAATGGTATTTTGCTGGGGTTGGTTGTACTTACTGAACATAAAATATTATTAATAGAATAGGGAGCCAACATCGGAAAAGAGTTCACCACCGAACAATTGTGATTTGTAATTTTCATTAAAAAAATGTTTTGCAATTTACGTTAATTTAAACTGAAAAATATTAATTATTTGATAAGGGATTACATCCATTTTAATATGTTAGTTTTTTTTAAATAAATAATTTTTATTTTATAATTTAAATTAATTTAGATTATAAAATAAAATTTTATTTTATCTAATTATTTTTATAAAAAAAATTAAAAATTAATATATTTTGATATATTAAATATTAAATTAGATGAAAAATTTTTAAATAATTTTTATACATATTAATTTATTAAAAATATTTAAAATTTTAATTATCAAGATATTTAGATTTTTTACTATTTCATTTTTGTGTACGGATTTGTTTGTGTTGTGTGATTTACTAAAATGACCTTATGCACGTGTGAGTGGTTGGGCTGACATATGCCTTGGATATTCCGTTGGAAACTGCCGCACAAACTCGCATCTGAGGCGCGTTGGGCCCGCCGAATCAGTTTCAGGTTCGTCGTTTTTTGAAAGGAAAATCCGGACCGTACACGTATTCTCGCACAGTGATCTTGGTCACGGCCATTGTCACCGTCGGCGACAAGGCCCGTCGTGTAACCAATTTATCGATGAAAAGCGCGTGACACTGACAGTTTTAACACTTAAAAAAAAAGAATTAAAAAACCAACAATCTTCTACTCTTCCTGAATAATTTAATTTAGTACTTCATTTTTATATTTTTTTAATAATTTTGACATTATTTACATATATATATATATATATGGGGAGAGGAGAAATGAGTTTTGTAAGATTTGAGTATATCACTCACAAAATATGAATAATCTTAACTTAAAGTTTAATTTTATTGTTTCAATATCATTGGTTCGAAACACATTGTAGTACTTCAAAATTTGATATTTCCAACCAAAGTGGATTAATACTACTTGCAGAAAATTTTTCAAAAATGCCCCTGACTGTACGGACTGACCACTGAGCTGAAATGTCATTTCTGTCCTTAACTCACACTAACAATGAAATTTCACTGAGGATAGAAATGTCATTCCGAATCCAAAATCAGCATTTTGCAATTTAAAACAGTTTAAGCTGCGAAACAACAGAATTTTTTTTTTGTTTTTTAACCCGTCAGTGTAAGCTACATCCTCAAAACAATTTTCTCCTAATTTTAATACAAATGCATTATATCTATTGCTTCTTGTTAAGACTCTCCCAATATTGACTTTCCCATTTCTGCACTTTTTTACTGATGTTCTTTTTCCTGTCAAGAAAAGCTTTGAGCTCAGGAGGCTCATACGGAGGAGGCAATCTGCAAGGAAGTTTATCACTCGGAGACTTCACCAGCGATTGCACCATGAACTTCTTCCACCGTCCCTTCTCCGAACATGCTTTCATTTCCGAACACACCTCGGTAGCCCCCGGTGGCACCTCCGGTTTGAATTTCAGGAGTTTAGCATATTCACTTAGTAGATGAAACATGTAATCATACACATATTTCATTGTTAGATTCTCGTGAATAAACTCGCTCCCTGCCTTCCCTATTGCCAGTGCCTATGATACAATTTTTCAATATAAACATAGAAATGAATTTCGATTCCTTCACAAATAACAGAAATTTTAGGCATAGAGGAGGAGATTACGTACCACATCAGTGTGATTATTGCCCCATTCGACAGCAAATTTAAGATCTCTGCATTTGTTGTTGTTGTTAATGGGCCAATAGTGCTGCATTGGCACCATGCTTCTTATGAAGAAATCATGGTAATTAGGCTTTACCAATAAGGTCATACTATCACATGCCATTATGTATTTTTCACTCACGGACCACGCAATTCCTTCTACATAAATCTTGTATCTTTGTTTTGCACATTTCCAATTGTATCATGTACACCAAAGTTTAAAATCTAATATCAGTACCAATAAAAAAAGAAAAAACTATAATATAATGAAAAACACAAAATTCAGTACATACCTATGAGTGCATTGATCTTCTAATCTTGTGTCATTGTACCCTCCCTTTTTTATTTTAGACCAATCCTGCAATTAGAACTAGGGAGTTAGCTGAATTAACTTATGCAACACTGAATGGTACATATAAAGAGAAAAGTATATTGGGAATTACCAGTGTATAAAGACGAGCTTTCCAATCAAATTCGTCAGAGATATTACAATTCATAAGCTCTTCCCTCGCTGGAGCAACCTTCGGATTTCCCTTCCAGAAAGCATAGGGTATCCTGTCAATCCAATTCATCCTCTTATTACCTTCTTTTATTGCCATCAACGTTTGCATCCATGGCCTAATGTTAGTCTCAGCCCTGTCACGGTTACCAAAACAATAAAGTCAGCATTTGTACCTGGATGAAATGCTATATTATTCCATATGTTTCACTCTGAAGTTTCCTGTTTTGTAATTTATGCTGCACTTAACTATAAAAAAAGAATCATAGCATGTGAAGACAATTTCTAATATTATAAAGTCTACACTCATCTAATAACACTTATATTTTATACTTGGAATTGAAAACACCCATTTTTTGTTCGTTAAAAGCAAAGAAGGAAAAATAGTCCTATGCATGAAACGCAGAGAGCTTTACCAACCCCAGAAGGTCCAATCAGGAAACACAATGTCCAGGGCATTCTTATTGCCGCAATAATGGAAAACTGGAGGCGGTGCCGTGGCATTAGGCCCCTGGTACAGGCGTTTCCTAACCACAGGACGGTCTTCACACCAGAACATGAGCTCCAAATCTGGAACCATCCCCGGGTACAGTCTCAGGAGCTGCAAAATGCCCCAAATTGTGAACATATCCCTTGTCTGAAAAGGCTTGATATAATTCTCCACGTAGGCCTTGCCATTAACAATAACCAGCCTAAAATGGGCATGAGCTCTGCCTCTCTCCACCATCTCCCTCGTGATTCCGGTGCTTTTCCACGGCTTCAAGTCCTGGTGGATCCACCGGAAGTACTCCGGACAGGCTGCAGCAGATGATGATTCATCTAGCTCAATCGTTAGCGGATAATTACTGGGACATGTTCCCGGTAAACCTTCATAGGAACAGTTGAGGGGAATCTCAAATTTCACTCTCTGCTTTCTGATGATGGAAAAAATTGTCCTCGGAAATGGATCACCCAGAATAACAGACTGGAAACAAATTACAAATTGACTAAAGAAACATATATACAGATTGCTTAAAAATGAAGAAAAATAAAGAAAAAGAAATTAACTTACAACATCCAGCCAATTAATTAAGACAATGATGGAGGAGAAGAATAAAATGACTGTAATTGAAGCAGATCTCTTCACCGGAGCAGAACCAAATTTTGAGAAAAAATTGTGTATCTGAGATCCATATCCCACATGAAAGGAGTCATCCATTGATCCCAGAATTTGGATTTATTTATTTTCTCTGGATCATGATCATGGAAGATAAAAAAAAAAAAAATGTAGAAGGTGCAATTCCTTTTGCAAAAAAAAATTGAGTTTTTCTTTGAACATGTATGAAAATTAAGGAGGTGAGGCATCAGGAAGACTCTCCTGAGCTCACACTTGACACTCCTTTAATTTAGGTAAGAATTGATCTCTAATGATCAAACAAATAAGGAAATGTGATAATCAGAATGATTCATTTCGAGAGATTTAAGGAAAGTAAGTTAATTTGGTCTTTAATTTATTGCCTTTTCAAACTCCTCCTTGTCCTCAATCTGTGGTATAAACTATTCTGTTCTTCAGCTTAATACATGCATTATAGTTTCACTGACTACATGTAATCATGAAGGAAAGTAAATAAAAGATTTCATGTTATTGACCAAGATTATAATCATGTGTATTAGTATATTAAGCATTTTTCATCAATGTTTACATACCACAGACTTTACAATTAATATCAATAAGAGGTCTTAAATTCAAGTTGCATGACATCCATATGAGGTAATTAAGGAATAAAAAATGGTTGCATCTCATTGTATAACTATTTTTACCTGATACCATATCCTTCTTCTTTACCGGTTTATTGTTTCTTACCCTTATTCTTCCAAAATTCATTTTCCCACATCTCA